TTGCAGATTGGGAAAAACAGTGGTGTAGCTTTGTCCCAGTCTAGTCCTTCAAGTACATCAAATCTAATGCACAACAAACAAGTGAGTTGGTTTGGGTTTTTTTTTTAAATCACATTTAAATCATAATTTGCATCACTTAATTGCTGTATGATTATCAACAAATGTGGCTTCTCTTAGCAACTCCATTATTTTTACAGGTAGTCCTCAAGTTACAACAGTTCATTTAGTGACTGTTCTGACTTATGAACATTTTTCACACTTCTGACCGCTATAGCCTCCCCGTGGTCAAGTAATCAAAATTTGGGTCCTTGGCAACTGGCTCAAATTGTTAATTTTTGTTTTGTTTTAAATATTTGTCATAATCCCATTTCTCATGTAAGGTGAACTGTTTTTATTTTCTCTTTCAGAAAACATTAAATCGGGCTGGTAGGATAAGGACTCTTCCATGAATAAGGAGAACAACCACTCTCTTATTTTTGCAGCCCTTCTCCAAGCCAACTTATTGGTTTCTGTGTCCTGCAGATTTTTTTTTCGTAATTTTGTATTAAAATTGTTTCCCTTTTTCCCATAAAAATTGTAGTCATGGTTTACTTTAATTTCTTACATGTGATCGGTTACATTGCCTCTGATCGGTGCAATTGGTTTTAATTTTTTTAAATTAATGCCTTCGGAAGGAAATTATTGCGTTTTCTCTTTTCAATTTCTTGCAACAACGGAAGCAGTGGACATTTCAAAATAATGCCATTTGTGATTAAAAAGAACAGATTGAGCAAAGCTATTCTTTTAAATTTGTGGTAACTTCTGTATTAATTATTGTCCTCGGGATTAAAAGAAAATCTCCATCCTTTTTGCCAACTTAATGGCTACAAGTTTCAGTGTTTCTAGATTCTTTGAACGCACTGAATGGTTAATGCATCTAGCTATTGCCAATAATTAATAGGAATATTGTGTGACATTTCCTCATATCTAGGTGAAGGGGCCAAGAAAAGGATTGTCCTTGGTGAAGCATTATTCTAAAATAAAGACAGAAGTTGGACATAACTGAATTTGCACTGACAATGTTTTTACAGGAATTACTGATTTTTTTAAAAAAATGAAAAGATTTTTTTGTAATCAGGAAACCAATTATACTAAGGTCCTACAAAATTACTACAAAGGAATTAACTTTTCTTTCTACAGAATTAAAAGTGCACTTATATGCCAGATTTATTTACATCTTGGGGAGAAATGAAAATGAATGCAAATAGATTTATTAGCTTCTTTCCTTTTAAAGTAAAAGCTTACGGGCAAATTTTAAAGCATAGGAAATGTTTAACAACGGTAAATAAAGGCTAGGCCTCTTGGGGGAAATTAGAAAATATTCTCAAAATAATTTTTATAATGTTATTGTAATTTATGTTTTCTTATACTTGGGAAGCGACAAGAGTAGTTTCATGGATGATATGAAGCTAGGAAAAAAATATAAGCAATGGTTGTATTTTTCATGTATTTTGAGTTACATTTTATTGTACATTCTTCAGATTGAAAAAAAAAGTACATATCTTTATTTTTGCACAATTTTTTGTCATTGGTAGTAGGAACAGAGCCTTGTTTTTTAAAAACTAATTTATTTGTGTTGTATAGCTGCAGGAGTTATCAAATTTCAGTAGCAAAACAACGCTCCAATGATCAAACTGCTGTTCTATATTTGGGGTAGGGGGGGAGAGATACGATGAATATGAATTTGAGTGGCTGCTGAAGGAACAATTTAATAATGTCAAGACTTCCTTAGCTTAACATGCATCTATTATGTAGAAAGCTGGATATTGGTGGGTGTTTTAGGATAATGCTCATTTATCTCTTCATTTTCCATGACTTAGATCTCACAGCATTTTGGAAACCTTAAGTATCAAATACAGCCTTCCACATTTCGTTCCATCACCTTTTTTTTTTAAAGGTCATTTAATTTATATATACTAAAATGGTATATATAATGTGGCTTTAAAAATGGAAATAGACCAGACCAACATGTATTGCAGTGTAGTTATTTGTTAAATAGTTGGAGTTTTTTTTCCTTATTTCCAACCATTTTCCCTTCTACACACCCAATTTTCCAGAAGACATGATTTCCAGCAATAGAGGCATAAGCTTTGGTTGTTAACACATGATGCAATGCATAGGCCCGTCAGCCATATTTAAAAAAAATTAAATGAAAAAAAGCAACTTGGATAACTTGTATGCCTTCTTTTGTATCGATGTTACCAATTTGTACATAGTGCTGATCAACCTTTGTAGAGAATAGTTTATACAGCATATTCTATTATTGCCGATTCTCAGTGAACTCTTGTTTAAAAAAGAAGAAATTTTTCTATCTACACCTTCTATTTTGTTACGCTGTTTTACCCATGGCACTTTAACAAAACTTTGGGTTTTACATAGCTGGTCGGTCATGGGAAATAAACAATTATAAAAAAAGAAAAACTGTTGCACAGAAGTGAAATTTGCACCTCCTCAATTATGCTTTCCTACTACAGATTTTAGAATCCTTTTCCAGAAGACTTTTGAAGACAAGCACGTCCAATCATTCTAAAAAGAAAAAAAATTGCCATATGTGTACAGTCGATTTCTTTTCTACGGATCCATATTTTGTAACACTATTTTCCTCTTCCTGCACCTTTTATGTATTAGCAGTATCAAGAAAGAACCCCATTCCATGCTTGTGATAATTGTAAGTGTTGAAAGTAGATGTAAATAGTAAAATTTATGACTTACAGTTTTGAGAAAAGGGAAAAATAAAGAACAAATGTATGTATCTAACTGATACTGCCATGGTTTTAGGACCAGGCCTGGAGATATTCTCTAGTGGGCGATTGTATTTCTTTTTGTTATTTGTTAGTTTTGCTTTATTGTTATTATTATTATTTGTAACATGGCTTTGTAAATAAAATAATTTATATGTTTCTAAGAAAAACACACGCAATGCTTTATCATTTTGTAAAAGAAAAAGGTCCAGGGTTATCTGGGAAAAATTATAAGCCTTGGTAGGACTTGGTAAAAAGCTTTTATTATTAGGATCTGCTCTGAACTAGAAATCCACTATCCAAAATAAGGAAATATAGTTTAGTTTTTCTGCTTGTCCTATGTGATGACTCCATTGTGACCATCAGAATGCAAAAAGCCTCAAAAAAGCCTTTTATTCCCTTTGGGAGGGGCCATTCACCATCCACCTGTGCCTTTACTCCTGAGTCGACCCTTGTTCCTTAATTGTTCCTTTCTCCAGGCAGCTCTGTGCATGCGCGCACTGGAAACAGGCTCCAGCTGTTCTTCTGCCCCACTGATGTCTGACTCCAAAGGCAGCTGATAACTGTCAGACAGCCCTGGCTCCATCTCTGCCTCCGACGCAGAGCCCTCGTCAGAGCCTTCCCCAGAATCCAGGAGTGGCCCATGTTCCTCCCCAACCACCTCATTCATTGTCCAAGTCTGCTGCCAGCTCTGCTGGTAGCTGTTGGGCCACAACCATCACCAATATTACAATGGCACTGAAAAAAATGACTATATATTTTCTACATTTATAAGACCATGGCAGCATTTCCATGGTCACATGATCAAAATTTGATTATGTGAATTCTGGTCATGTCATTTTTTTCAAATGCCATGGTAAATTATGGTCACGAAATAAACGGTTATACATCAAGCGCTATCTCCCCTTGTGAGTGTTGTCCATTGCCCAGAGTCATTTAATGGAGTTAGATGGCCATATACATAAACAAGCCTCAAAAATTTTAACCTTAGACTGTCTACTGTTGCCCTCACCCCATTCTAGACAACACAGTATCAACAGTAGAGGCCTTCAAAATTCTATGTTCTATCATATCACAAGACTTAAAATGGACACCTAACATCAAAAACGTAATCAAAAAAGCACAACAAAAAATGTTCTTTCTGTGCCAACTCAGGAAGCTCAAACTGCCTAAGGAGCTGCTGATCCAGTTCTACAGAGGAATTATTGAGTCTCATCTGCACCTCCATAACAGGACAGACACAGACTTCAGAGGGTAATTAGGACTGCAGAAAAAAACAATTGCTACCAACCTGCCTTCCATTGAGGACCTGTATACTGCACCCTGAGTCAAAAAGAGGGCTGTGAAAATATCTACACACAACCCACCACATCCTGGACATGAATAGTTTCAACCCTCACCCTCAAAATGATGCTATAGGGCACTGCACACCAGAACAATTAGACACAAGGACAGTTTTTCCCCACATGCCATCCCTCTGCTAAACAATAATTTCCTCAACACTGTCCAACTATTTACAAAGTCTGCACTACAATTGCTGTTAATCTTCTCATCACTCCTTATCGCCCATCCCCTCTCACTTGTGATTGTATGACTGAAACTTTGTCGCTTGTCTCCTCACGATTTATATTGACTGTTTCCTAGTATGATTTGATTGCTTATTGTACCCTATGACTATCATTAAGTGTTGTACCTTATGATTCTTGACCAATGTATCTTTTATGTACACTGAGAGCATTTGCATTAAGACAAATTCCTTGTGTGTCCAATCACACTTGGCCAATAAAAGAATTCTATTCTACTCCTAAGAGGTCTTTAAGGGGCATGCATAAGCACACCAACATGCCTATCACCCGTCTTAATGTTCCCTTTTATTCGTATCTATTTCATATATTAATAATCATGTTTATACTTATATATATATTATCAAATGGATGCTGGACAAAATAAATTAATAAAAGTAAATAAAGCATAAAATTGCTCTATGGGTCCCCAGATCTTTAACTAAGCTTGATCTTAACCAAAAGGCCGAGAAGCGAGCTTTAAACAACTTCAGAAATTCAGAAATGTTTGCAAAAATTTCAAACCATCCAAAACCTCCCTATTTCCCGGCCCACGTGCTTTGGACCGGAGGCCACGCCCCTCCCGCTGTCGTAAACATTCGTCGCCACTCCTCCGCGCTAACGTCACGACCTCCTCCCCAAGCCCTGCGGAACAACCGGGCGAGCAACTTGATTGGCCGAGAGCGGCCCTCTCCGTTATGGCGTTCCCCTGCGCGGCGCGTCCTTGGCCCGTCGCCTAGCAACGGCGATGGACCGAGAAACGGAAGGCCGCGAGTACCTGGCCCAGCACAAAATCCCGGAGCTTTTGTATAGTTTAACCTCGTTGCTTCTCTACCATCGGCCGGGTGAGAGATTGTGCACGGGGGTTGCGTTTCCTTGCCTCGGGAAGACGAGCGGATTTGCCCTTGCACGGAGTATAAAGCGAGAAAATGCGGACTGGGATTGTTTTCTTTAAAAAAAATGGTTAAAAAAAACCACGGGTGTTTTGCATGGCTTCCATGGTGGCAGTCGTTGCCCGAGAGATGACCTGTGAGTAATTTGCACAATAGGGCAGGAGAATCCAAACTTGGGCACTTTAAGACTTGTGGACTTCTACTCCCAGAATTCCCCACCCAGCTATGCATATGGGGAATTCTGGGAGTTGAAGTCCACAAGTCTTAAAGTCTTAAAATCCACAAGTCTTAAAAGTGCCCAAGTTTGGAATCTCCTGTATTAGGCTAAATGTGTTTTTCAATCTTATCATCATTTAAGGTGGGTGGACTACAATACCCAGAATCCATAGCTGGCTGGGGAATTCTGGGAGTTAAAGTTGAATTTTGGCAGTTATGAAAAGATTCAAGGACACGGATTGCAATTCTGTGCCTCTCTTGGCCAAGAAGGAAGATACAAACTGCCTGAGTGCCCAAAAGGTTAAGCCACAAAACATTAAATGCTTTAATCGTAATAGTTACCTGTCAATCATTTTAATTAAAAAAGAACATTTAGTTTAGATACATTTAACAATATGGCTTGGAGTGGACAACAATACAACTGATCTTTTTCCTTTTCAGAACGACCGAGAGAATTTTTGATAAAGACATTGGAAAAAGTAAAGATTGCCAAAGCAACAAGCAATGATTATCCCAACCTTATGGATGAGTCAAACCTGGATGCAATGTTTGATATGATTGATGTCGGGGGCGAAGGCCACATAAATGTAATACAGTACAAAGGAGGTTGGTGTTTCTTCATATCTTATGAACTTTTTATGCTTTCCATGACAAGATACAGTAATCCGAAAAAAATAAAAAAAATGTTCTTCCGTTTTCTAACAAATCTAATGGTCAACTCATAAAATATTTCTATGGTCTTTTTAGAGTTACCAACAGAAAGGGATGGGGGAAAGGGGTTTGAAAGAGCAGTGCGGCAGCTTGGAAATTGAAAGTGCATTCCATAAAGTGTTTTTCAGAGATAGTAACTAGGTGACGGAAATTTCTGCCATGCAAAATTCTAACTGGAGAGTATGATTATTGACTCTGAGCTATGGAGGTGTCCCATTGGAGAATGAATTACGATACACCCAGGGTGTGGGGGGAAACCAGGGGCCAAAGGTGACGATGAATAATGTGTCTCAGAGTCAGCTACATCCAGGCAATGTCGTCATGTTTACTCCTACTAAATCTTCGTCAAGTTTTGGAAGTTTGGCTCAAGACTCATGATTTAATTGTGGTAACTGCTGGAATCCTGACAGTAATGATATTTTAGATTCCTATTCAAAAATCACACTGATTTGTCTGTAAATATCTCAGCAGTTTGGCTAGTAAATTATATTTTATCCCACATGACAATGTGCGAAGCATCTTCCAATAAACAAAGAAAAGTTATCTGGAAAAAAATATGAACTTCCTTCTTTGAAGATTTTAGGTTGCTGCACTGGGGTGCTATAAAACTGCCTAGCCTCTCCCCACTTCCTGGGCAAGAAAGCAGTTTAGCAGAAACAGTACAGATAGTCCTCAACTTACAATTCATTTAGTGACCATTCAAAATGACAGCACTGAAAAAAGTGAATTATGACAATTTTTCATACTGATGACCATTGCAGCATTCCCACAGATACAGGATAAGTCATTATTTTACTGTATTTAATGATTTTAATTTTGTCTTCCATTTAGTACTAAAATGACAGTTGTATATATAGATTATAAAAAGCTGAATCTACATGACAAAACATAAGCTAAATCAGAGTTTTTCATTTTTATCTGCCTCTACTTGTTGCTGCATAAATAAACAATGTCTGAACTGTGTACTTCTGTATATACATATTGAGATATAAGAACTGTCTAATCCATGATCAGTTTGTGTTACTACTCTATTTCCAGCTGCAAAGAAGAGTCCTTGTTTAAAGAAAAATAGTGATTTCTGTTCAATTTCCCATAAACTGCTGGAAAACATATTTATATTCCTAATATCCTTTTTGAGGTCATATCACCTCCAAGGTGGAAATGACTGGATTTAAACATAATAATAACCCTCCAAAATGGCTCACTTAAGTTTGACTTTAGTACCTTCCACATATTCAGCCACTCTTAATTTTGGAAATCAGTTTACGGCAATAGAGTATTGCATGAATCTAGCAGATTATGGTAGATTTAGCAAGCCACTGCTTGGCATGACATGTGAGTCCAGCTGAGTGATTCCTTGCAGGTGGGACACCAAATGATTGAGTGTGATTTTGGTAGGAGTCACATGATCGCAGCAATCTAAACGAAATAAAAGTCTAAAAAGGTAGGCTGCACGCAAATTTGGAGGCCTTCTTTTGAGCAATTATGCATGGAGGGTTATACTACATGTGGTGTCTTTGTTCAGGTTTGTTCAGGTATTTTCCCACATCATTATAGTTGTGCTTTTAAAGTTGTAGCACAGAATCAGGAGAATCTCATCTGCCATCATCAGTCTTCTGTATTGTGTTCATCTGTGAGTCAGACTTTCACAGCCGTTTCTGTTTTAAATTTGGTGCTAGCCATCTGCTGTGCCAGAATGACAACTACCATTCCTAGATGTACTAATCTACAAAAAAACAGATGGCACACTAGGACACACCATATACCAGAAGAAAACACACACCAACCGCTACCTCAATGCCCAATCCCACCACCACCCAGCACAGATAAACTCCGTGGCCAAAACACTAATCGCCAGAACCAAACGCCTGGCAGACAAGACACACATAAAGACTGAACTATGCACCCTGACTAAAGTACTGACAGCCAACGGCTTCCACAAAAGCAAAATCACTGGCTTGATCCACAAAAACACACTGAGACATAATGGAGACCTAGAAGATGAACAGACCTATGGAACAGCTGTCCTGCCCTACATAAGAGGTACTACAGACAAAATCAGTAAGATACTACATAGGCATCACATCAAGACTGCCTTCAAAACAGACAGAAAAATAGCAGCCATCCTAAGAAACCCCAAAGATAAAATTGACCTGGAAAACCAAGGCATATATGAAGTCCCCTGTGCATCATGCCCGGCCACATACATTGGACAGACCAATAGAAGAATAAGTACCCACCTAGATTAACACAAAAATGCAGTAAAAAAGCTGGAACACACTTCCTTGCTAGTGCAACACATGAAAGCCACAGGTCATAGCATCGACTTCAATGGCACCAAAACCCTAGCCACTGTAGAAAACCCCAGCCACAGAATTATCAGAGAAGCCATAGAGATTGAAAAAAGACCTGAAAGCATGAATAGAAGAGATGAGTCTACCAGACTGTCAATTATTTGGAAGCCTGCACTCACAAACAAAAAGATCTCCACACAAGCCAGGCAAACACCTGGGCACAAACAGACCCACCTGATACCTCCAGCTCAAACACATCCCAACCAGGCACCCAGATGAAACCTAGCTTTCTAATAAATGATAGCCATCCATTTACCTGGAGCCAAGCCGCACTAAAAGCCTCCAATACAGGAACACAATGTTGCCAGCCAATCAGGACAAAAAAAGCCACAAACAGAAGATATTAGAAACAGTAATCAAGCAGAACACAGCAAACTCCAAGACCAATAAACACAGACCAAGACTCCCAACCAATCAGGATGAAGAAAAAAACATTCTGGCACAACAGTAGGCTAGCCCCAAATTTAAAACTGAAACGGCTGTGAAAGTCTGACTCACAGGCGAACACAGTACAGAAGCCTGATGGCAGATGAGATTCTGCCGAAACGTTGCTACAACTTTAAAAACACAACTATAACGACGTGGGAAAATACCCGAACAAAGCTGAATAACATATATATAAAACTTAAGAAAACATATCTATCATCTATCTATCTATCTATCTATCTATCTATCTATCTATCTATCTATCTATCTATCATTTATTTCTCTCTTATGTTTTAGCACTTGAGTCTCTGGGATTGAGTAGCCAGGATGTACCTTATAAAGAAAATGAAGTAATTACATCAAATGTCTTCAAGGAAAATGTGTAAGTTAAACCAGAATATTACATTTTATGTGGAACTAGCTTGATACCCGTGCTTCACTACGAAACTATGTGGTCGTGCTTAGTTTTTGGAGAGGAAAATAAGAGGGAAAAAATTCTGCCTCTGGCTACCAGCATCCATCAGTATTGATCTGGCTACCGTCCTGTCAGTGTGTGATTGGAGGGCTGCCTGGAAACTGAAAGAGTATTTGCTGTGAGCGAGACAGCAAGGAGCCTGGGCGTGGCTTAGCTCAACTGTTCTGTACTAAAGCTGCTTGGTGCTGTGAAACTGAAACTCCTCTCCTCTGCTTGTGTTTTGCATTTGGAAGAGGTTTCTTTTCAGGTGAGAGGGGGAATAGAACTCCTTAGCATCAGAGTGTGTTAATAATAATTATAATGTAGGAAATACTAATGCTCTGATGGGCCTTTCGAAAAATCCTTTCTTAGTGAGCCTCTAGAAGCCAAGAGGAACATATGGGCCAAATTTCAAGTTTGTAGGCTTTACAGTTCTGGAGATTTTGTGATGATACGTGAGGGGTATTTCACTTTTATACAGAGATTGCAGGGATGTGTGTGTGTATACAAAAATGTGTAATGAGGAAAATGCAACTGTTTATATAAGAACTTTATATGTTATATATCTTTGTTTTCCTCCACAGGACGAAAAAATTTACTGAGCTGTGGAAAACGGTTTAATCCTAAATATGCCTACCTGGAATATTTTTTTTATGTATGTGTATATATATATATATTTCAGTTTCTGAAAAAAAGCTAGCAATTTCATTTATATGTAATGGCCTTCCCTTGTAGTAATTTTATCCTCACTGAAGCATTCCTTTATTTCAGAATCTTCACAACTGTTATACTGAATTTGCTAAATAAATAATGGGAGTATTAGCCAACTTAAGCTTCTTAGCAGTCCTTTTATTTCAGGGAGATAGGTTAAATTTGAATTTTTCCATCAGGAAAAAAAAGTGACATTATGATTAGTTTAGCCATTGCCAGAAGATCATAACCCCAACTTTATAATCAAAAGAAGGAGGGTAATCACATTTATTATCTAGAATAAGAGTGTGTTTAAAGAATTGCACAAATTTCTGTGAAGCCTTTTATCTTATCCGTATTAGAAGTATGCTGGCATTAGGAGCCAAAATAAGTAAAATTTGCCACAGAATGGCATGCAAAGTTTTTTGTCCCTTTTGTCAACATGCTGGTTGTTTCATTCAAAAAGGTAAGAACAGTTTTGCTCTTTTTAAACCCTCCCCGGTGTAATATTGTGTAATATCACAATCTTGGTAACACAAACAGGTTCAGAAGACACCCTAATCTAGCCTAAGCAAGGTTAATCTGAGCTTCCGAGGAGACAATAAAGTGAAATTGGTTGATCTCAGAATTTTTTAAAATACTCCAGCATTTTCCTGTAAGACTGGCTAACCTTTTGGGGCTCCTGTGCCAAAAATTGTACACGCGATTGCACGTTCGCGCTTGCGTGCCAGCACTCAGAAGGCAATTCATGCTTCCCCCCACGCCCCATACGCATGCACACACAATCCCCACCCCCGCCGCTCCCTTACCTGCACTGTGCCTCACAGCTGATTTTCAGCCGGTTTGAGGCCTTTTTCAACCTCCCAGAGGCCAGAGGAAGGCTTCTGCAGACTTTGCAGGCCGAAAACTAAGCCCGTTTCATCACTTCCGGTATTTCCAGAAAAATAGGAAGTGATGAAACAGGGCTAGTTTTCGGCCTGCAAAGCCTACAGAAGACTTTCTCAAGCCTTTGGGAGGCCGAAAAAGGCCTCAAACCGGCTGAAAATCAGCTGTGAGGCGCGTGCATGTGCAGTGAGGTAGGTTTGCCTGCAGCTTGTGTGCCAGCATAAATGGCTCTGCGGGCCACCTGTGGTTCACCATCAAGGCTCTAAGATGACTATTTCTATAATATGGAGCATATGGTAGGATAATTTTTTTCATTGAAAAGAATTTCCCTTGATTACCACAGTCAATTGAGAAAAGGACAGGTGTCACTGACAGTAAACTTGCAACTGAGCATAACAGCCAATATACTAACCAGACTTCATCAAATTTCAAATGTTTCTTTGAAACTGATATATATCCTCATCTTCCTTTAAAGACCCCGTAATCCCTTGCAGGGTGGAGTCTGGGCAACTGAATGGAGCTAGCAGAGTGTTTTAATGGCCGGATGCCCTTCTTGTCACCAATGCGGAGTTTTGTTCAGCAGATATATTCTTGCTGAGCCCAGAAATATCTGCTTAGGATCAAACTCACAGCCTCCTGATTGGGAGGCGAGAGCTCCACCTTTAGGTTTCACATCACTCCGAAACGGTGATATTGATATATATATATATATATATATGGGTTTAATTTCAGTGTTTTTTTTAACATGTTGTTTTCTTTCCAAGGCAATATACTCAAGATCAGGTGAGAACAAGGAGTAATTTCTAAACAATGTAATAGTAATTAGTGTCTCTCCATTCTGTCTGCTTTGATTATCTGCCAGCGTTAGGCCAATTTGTCCTCAAATTAAGGAGGATCTCCACATCCTTTGGAGCTAACTTATAAATTCCAAGTTCGTTTAGCGCTGCCACGGCACTGGGTTGATTTGAATTAGAGGAGATTCCGGTTCTGGTTTCGGTGGCTGTCTGTAGCACGTCTTTCAACAGCAGGGCTGAACCAATGTTTAAGTTCAACACAATACAGGCCTCTTTGATGCTAGACAAGGAGAAACACACACACAAAAAAATCAGTTTTAAACACAAGTTACATTTAACAGCTGTAAGTATGAAAGTTAGTTATAAGTCACTTTTTTCGGTGCCGTTGTAACTTTGAACTTCACTAAACAAATGGTTGTTAAATCGAGGCACTGTATCCTGTAAAGAGCGGTGGAGTTTTGCTGAACTCTTAATTTCAGCAGAGCTAGAACTGAAGGAATCCTTCCTGTCAGGAAGAATGTATCCAAGTCTCTAAATCTGATCTAAATCTCTTATATGTTACTTTTATCCCAGCTGACCCATAAATAAATGTCCACTTGCAGGGTCTTGGACAGGTAAGTAAATGAAAGGGAAATGAGAGATCTTAAATAATGTTTATGACACTGAAACAATGGGTTAATCCTAAAGGTGCTTTCCCCTGTCCCCTTCAAAAGGCAAAACTGCCTTTTTCCACTTGAAGATATTTCGCTTCTCATCCAGGAAGCTTCTTCAGTTCTGACTGAATGGCGGAAGATGGAAGAATTTATATTCCTTGCAGTCCTCTGGACATTAGTATTCTGAGAGTCATTGAGGCCACTTGGAGGTTTATCTGTGCCCTCAATCAGCTAACTAGTGCCAATGGGTGTGGAGCCTTCTGGGAACTGCCGAAAGTACCACGTAGGAGATAGGTAGTGTTTTATTCCTTTCCCTCTGTTGAGAGAGGGCTGTTCAATCTTAATGACCACATGACTGAAAGGAATTTAAATCCTTCCATCACCCACTGTTCATCAGAACTGAAGAAGCTGCTTGGATGAGAAGCGAAACCACTTCAAGGAAAGAAACAAAGTCCAGTTGCCTTTTGAAAAAAAAAAAAGCACCTGTCAGGATTCTGGCAGTTACCCCATTTAAATAATCAGTCTCAAGCCAAACTCCCAAAATTTCAAAGGATTTATTGAAAGTCAACATGTTGGTATGACCTGGGCATAGCCAACTCTGACACACATAATTCACTGTCATCCTTGACCCTGCTTTCCCCTCTAGGTGTATCATAATTCTTATTCTCCAATGAAACATGTCCATAGCCAAGAGTCATCAATCATGCTCTCCAACTAGATTTCTGCGTGGCAGAAGCTTCAGCCATCTAATTAGTCTTTGAAGAAAATAGGAATGGAATGTACTTTCGATTCCACACTGCTGCCTTTGAAACTACCCGCCCCCCCTTTCTGTTGGCAACTATAAAACATGTACAGAAAATGTTTTATGAGTTGACAGCATCTTTGGGACAGCCGTGACCTGGATGGCTGAGAATCTCCGGAGACGTGGCGTTAATCCCTCTCCCCGCCCCCAAAAAACCCAAGAAGAAAGCTTTGACTCCCACGCAACTCCAAAATAAACGAGAATTTGAGATGTGCCGTACTCACTGTTTGAAATAATTCTCTGGCCGTTTGCAGTAATGGGAAAACAGAGGGAAAAGATTTCGGGTCATGTCGAACTGGAGTTGGGCCGCTCCCCCTTCATTGAAGTGATTGGCTAGAATGACCTATAAAATATATAGAGAACGGAGCAACGTTTAAAACTAGGAGCGTTTTCTTGGCTAAAGTCTTGGCAAGACGCCAGCGACGGTACTGACCTCCTGGTAGATGAACAGATCAACTTGCTCCGCCAGCATTTGCCAGAAGATTTTGAACAAAGTGTAACAAAGCTGCTGCTCTAACTGAAGGAGCCGATCTCTCAGGGTCAGGAGCAAGGGGCAGGCGCTGCTTGATAAGGACATCACGGCTTGTTCGGCCTGGGAAGGCAAGGAGAGCCACCTAAACGGAAGATGCAAAAAACTTTGCTCGAGTTGACCCGTAACTTCCCCTTTTCAATGAAAAATGTCCGGTGCGAAGGACTGGGCCCTCACACTAAGCTGATTTTATACTTCACACCTACAACACGAGTATTCTAATCAACTAACAGCCCTAAATTGGCGCTAGAGAGGAGACTAGCAGAATTCAAGAACGGCTGGACTTTGTTTGTGGGAACGTAATGATTCGAGGCTTATTCCACTCTTGACACTGCCTCTCCTTCTCCGACAAATGGTACATTTGGAAAGCATCTGTAAAGCATCATAAAAGGAGAGGCATGCGGCCAACTCCCTCCCTGTTGGGTGCTTTTGACTAGGCCTTTTGCATCCCACCCACCTTATGGGATTCATGTCACCCTTGAAAGCACAGAGAAACCGCCAAGTGGCCTCAACGACTCTCCGAAAGAGGGCTAGTGACCAAAATGACTGCAAGGAATAGAAAACCTTCCATTCTCTACCCTTCAGGTCAGAACTGAAGAAGATTCTTAGATGAGAAGTGAAAGGTCTTCTAGCAAAACAAAGAAGTCCAGTTGCCTTTTGAAAGAAAACACCTTTGCGGCATCAAGTTTATGGTTCGCAGCCTCTTTGCCACTGCCCAGCCATTCTACGAGCTTACAGCTGGACCACATAACCAGTGCCTTGGGGGCACAGAGACAAAAAGCAGAGAATGACAGGCTCTCTTCCTTCCTCATTTCTGTGGCCTTATTGGCTGCGCAACTCCCCAAGCGGGCAGTGATTAATTCAGTTCTACACTTAAAACAACATCGGCGTCACTCTGAAAAGCTTGTTTTCTAGTGGTCTGGAGGGCCCTTTCCCTGTCAACATTCTGTTATGAAAAAAAAGGGGATTTTCAGTGAGATTTTCCCTCCTGCCTGCAAAACTACACATTAAAACTTCTGATTAGAAGCAGCAGCAGCAGCAAAGTTTGATCTAGCAGCACTGATGACGTTACCTAATATGGTAACGAAAGGTCTGCAAGAAAACCACCGAGCTCAGAGAGCTCCAAGGACCCCACAATCCTCCACCTCTTCTTCCTCCTCCTCCTTTCTACAAATCCCTCCCTCTTCTACCACTGATGACGTTACCTAGTATGGTAATGAAAGGTCTGCAAGAAAACCACCGAGCTCAGAGAGCTCCAAGAACCCCCTCATTTCAACCCCGAGCTGCAGATATTCCCCTCTGAGGTTTTTACCTTTCCCTTTTGTATATCTTGGCAACCTCTTTGACCTCATTGAAGACGTGATCTACTTGGCGAGTCAGCATGTCCTGCTTCAATCGTTCCAGAAGCTGGATCATTTCATCGAACACGGAGCTCTCCAGAGAAGCCAGCTTTCCCAACTGCAGCTTGCTT